TCAGATAGATACCCTAATAGTCGTTGGCTTGTTCGCTGAGCTGGGCGGTTTGATTGCAAGCGTTTCATCACCGATTGAGGTGACATCCAGGTGACCAGGCGATTTCACCTCGATTGGTGATGAAACGTTTGCAATCAAATTGCCCAGCTCAGCGAACGAACCAACGACCATCTACGCTACCTGAGCTACCAATATTTTCCTCTGTAGATACCAGGGTACTTTGCTTTGTCATACAACTATCATGTTCCCCTATAACCAATAAACCATTACGTAGCCTTTGAGTTGAACTCACTAAGCTGAATGTGTTTTGCGTTGTTAAATCTTTCTATGATATCCGCACTGCCCTCAGACTGTTTTTTGCAAAAATGGAGGTTGCGCATAGCACCGGTGTTTGATATTGCTCGTGGTGGGTAACATTTACCTCCGTTTTGGCTGACACCAACAACCTACGTTGATGGCTGACACGCCTAAATTCATTATCTTTTGTTCGAAAACATATGAATGTTAGTTTGTCTCTCAGGTTCCCGACTGGCGTACTGTACTATGGGATGTTGGGCCTGAGCTTTCGAAAATTCACTTAGGGAGATTGGTAAAACCTCAAATCTTTAAATGATTGGGTCGCCTTAGCTGACCGATAAAGGGTCTGGAAATGAAATTGATTCAAACGAACCATTCGATGAGTGTTTTTCTCGCACCACCAGACGTTAGTCTTCCTCTACCCACTTATCCCGTTTCTCTCCGTCATAAAAGACACTTACTCTGTCATGCTCATCGCTATTTTCTTCCACCCTCCTGAAACAAACAGGCGAACATAGGCAAATTCACTCCTTCGAGACCAAATTCAATCTGTCCCAGCTGCTCATGAAGTAAGATGCCGTCAGTTCCGACCTATTCTGGTTAGTTGGATAACAGACATGCAATTTGGAAGCAAGCATTTCAGCTAGATATTGAAATGTATGTGTCGGAAGCGGTGCCAAAGTGTACTGTCAACCTATAGGAGCACTTGCCTTCTCGCTCATGCTTAGCGGCGGACTTCGGATCAAGGGCGTTTTACATCCAAGCTAATTGTAGGTGCCCGTATGTGCGTAAGGAGTTATACTTGCCTAGACTAGTGTGCCACCAAACTTGGTGTAACGCCGGATACTATCGATGAGGCATGTGGGTAGTATGTAACTTCGCGTCTAACGGAAAGTGAAGTTTATCGCGGGACTGATGGAACCGCCTTGCGGAGGAAGGGCTTTCCGCCCTTCACTGGTAGTGTTGATCTCGGAGTTCCAAGAGGTGTTTCATAAAACTCATCCTGGACGCGTGAAGCTATCCGAATGGTTGGTTGACTCAGTTTTACCGCTCCCCTCAGCGTGACTGCTCAATACACTGTCTTGCTCGTGCATAGCTGACAGGCCTGCAGAAAGAGCTCCGTCTGTGCTTACGTTTGTAATCGTTTACGTGTGTCCACCATTAGTTGAGGAGATTTCTATCACTCGTAGACTCTATTTTAGATGGTCAAAATTCCAGCCAGGTTATGTAGTCGAAACACACAGCAACTTGATGGAATCGGCAAGGCAAGTGTCTGTATTCGTGCTTGTTTGCCTCACATTTGTGTGCAAACAGTGCGCGGGCTGTTTGCGATCACCTTCCTGAGTGGCGACTCGTTTCCCTACTTTTTTTCCTGCTCTTTGGTTATTTGTTCCACATTCCCTCGTCTGTTTGCCGTACGTGGTGTTTCGCGGCCTTTACGCGCACACGATCGAGTGCACCCGTGCACGTACAAAAGCACGGGTGCACAATCACTCCAAGTTTATCAACGCGCTGCATATTGAGGGGGCGTTGTCTGACCTTGTTCCAGCGCTGACGCACGCTGTCTGGTTTCGATACAAGGCTGTCAAGCGCTGCATATTGAGGGGGCGTTGTCTGTCTGATCAGTGGATTTCTGGCATTCAGGAATCTGACCTTCCTGATATGAACAGTGTTTGGAACCGAAATGATCGTTCTGATAAAACTGATGGCCTTTCGTTAATATGTTATTTTTTACACAGGGATTTCTTCAAGCCCAGTTAGAAGACTGCCAAACAGAGAAGCAACCAGCAAGACGTTTTCCAATTAACTCAGTAAATTAGTGTTGGATACTGAGTTCAACCGTGTCTCACAGGAGATGTATTGGGGAAGGGGGTTGAAACTGTACATTACCGTTACACTCACAGAGGCAGTTTTTGCTGCAGGGTTTCGCTTCGAATGGTGCATTGAGGGGTTGGAATTTTACTTTATCATGATGATCTCAGTGTGATGTTCCGACCAGACGTGAAACATACTTCTTGGCAAGACGGCCTTCATTGATTAAAACAATGCCCTTTCAGCCGATTGGACAACGCTTGAAACCGACTGATCATGTGTCTGAGTTTCCAGTTTGAACGAGTTTGTAATCCAATGTAGAAACAGTCTATTCCGGTTAGCACATTAAGTCAGTTGAGATGTTTCGTCGAGTAGTCTGAAGGCCTAAACCCTACGGCCAGTGTATTGAGAGAGGGGCGGAGTTCGAAACACTCTGGGGTCCTTGATCTTCCGATTCAGGTCGCTTCAAAAGATTACTCCCCTTCTTTGTCAGTCTCGAATTTTTTCTAGTTTATCTAGAACAATTCAGATAGGGAGTGAACTTTAAGTGCACTTTTGGCAGATTTGATCTGCGCACGTCAGACTCCTGATGAGCGTACAATTCCGTGTCTTCCACAACAAAATTAGCATGTTTCTTACAGAAACCTCTCTGTTAACCATGAAAAGAATGATATCCGGTAATCTTGGTGCGAAATTCTACCCTTTAATCCAGCTAACAAAGTCAAATCTCTAGGTTAAATTTTGGCACTTTAAGTTTGGTTTGTCTTTGAATATTTTGCGAGCTCATGAATTACGTTACGGGTGCGTTTGCACCCGAAAGGCAAAACTCGCACTGATTAGATATGCTTGGACTGCTGAGGTTCTTGCTTTGTGAAACAGGCGTTCGGTAGGTGCGTTGTTTCGATAGTGCTTTTAGTGGACTTTGTGAATTCGCGAAAAATTATTGTGAATCCACACTAACTCAGCGTAGGCCGCGAAATATTCAATCCGCTGAGAGCGGAGTCCACCAGTACCGATTTTTATGGAAAAAATTCTTCGACAATTCAAAGTGCTCTGCGGACCGAAAATCGATAACCATCTAATGGGAGGTGTAGGATCCGGGCGGCTATGGGTCTCACAGGACGATTGCGGCTATTAGATTATACACAGTTCGTAGCCAGTCAGCAGACAGTCGTGGGCGGCAGATGATGTATTGAGGACTGACAGGAACCGGTTCTACAAGAAAACGTATTAGTAAGCATCGCGAATTAAGCAAACGTACAATCAATAATGACGCAATCAGCAGGAGCAAAAAATAGTCACTGCCACAGCAGGGATTTCTAGGAGCACCAACAAGTAAGCACCAAATGATATACGGACAAACCTAGGGGCAGTCTGACAGTGGGAGTTGGCCGTATAGAGAGATGAAGCCACAGAAATCGTACTTTTGAGATGTGAAGGACTGCTTTTCGGTCGGCAGCGACGCGACAACTCTTGTCACGTGACAAGTCAGATTCCGCGGTTTCGTCCGTTTAAAACAAATCTCGCCAAAGGCTTACGGCAGGTGCGATACATGGGTAATACAAAATAATAGAGTTTCGAGGGTTAGGTTGGTATATATATATATATATATATATATATATATATATATACAAAAAATATGTA